TGTCCCACATGCGGTTAAATTGAAAAAAAGAAAAGAAAAAAAAAAGACAAAATATAAGTGCCTTTAGAAGTTACAAATTTGGCATGATGTCAGAAAATTCACAATAAAAATTAAAACAATTATTAATAATACCGTATTTGGCAGCTTTGCTTGCAGGATAATATCCTCCTCCTGTGCCTAGTTGCCCTCCTGTTCCAAGTTGCCCTGTTCCTAGTTGTCCTGTTCCTAGTTGCCCTCCTGTTCCAAGTTGCCCTGTTCCTAGTTGTCCTGTTCCTAGTTGCCCTCCTGTGCCTAGTTGCCCTCCTGTGCCTAATTTGAATAGAAAAAAAAATTATGCACTTTTTAAAAAAAGTACATTTACAGGTTACAGTTTGATATAATGTTTAAAAAGTTCACAAAATAAATAGTAAAATTCAATTAATAAAGCATACGACATTTAGCAGCTTTCAGCTTTGCTAAAAGGATAGTATTCTCCTATTTGTGCTTGTCCCCTTATTTCTATTTTTCCATTGATCTATTTTCTCCCACCCCCCCTCCATTTGTCCCTATTTGTCTCCATGTTTCTACTTGAGCCAGGTCCCACCCCACAAATATTTTGCCATCATTTTTTCCTTCAATTTGGTGATAAATGTTGCCTGTAGATTGAAAATCATGGTCTTAGAAGTCGGTGAGACAGAAATTTTTTTGAAGAATTTTTCTGTTATTCCACTGAAAATGTCATTAGTTAGTTAGTTTTCTTTGTAACAGTTCCACAAATAATAAAGCGTACCATATTTAGCAGCTTTTGCTGCTGGTGAATATCCACCAACCGCTGGAATTCTTCCAATCGGTGCACCTCCTGGTACTCCCCCAGGTACACCTCCTGGCACTCCCCCAGGTACACCTCCTGGTACTCCCCCAGGTACACCTCCTGGTACTCCTGACAAAAGCATATGTGTAATTTGTCCATGTAAATAAATTTTCCATGTAATGTAACATAATTTTATATGAGTTAAGTTATATTTTTCTCACTCTACTGAAAAAATGCATGAAAAAAGTATGAAAAATGATTAAAAGTATTTTTTTTCCCAGATAAGGAAAAACAAACATTCTCACCATATTTGGCAGCCTTAGCAGCTCCATACCCTGTCGTCAACATAACGATAGTGAGTCATATGATAAAAGTTGAGTAAATGAAGAACATTTATTTATTTATTTTAAAAAGCACAAAATAAAACAAGGTGTAAGGTATGGTGTGAAATATTTGTGCTAGTTAGTTAACCCTTTCATGCATAGTGGTCACTATAGTGGACAGCTATTCAAAGGCTGTTTTCTTGTATTTGTGTGTGTGTATATATATATATATATATATATAATATATATATATATATATATATATATATATATATTTTTTTTTTTTTTTTTTTTTTTTTTTTTCATCTTTTTATAAAAAAAAAATTATTTTTATAGTTTTTACACAGTGTGTATTATTTATTCGTGTGTCAATTCATAAGTCAAAATGTTGTTGTCCACCTAAGTGACATGTAACAAATCTTTGAAAAGTACATGTTTTAAAAAAAATTAAGTTCAAAAATCTTTTTTTCATGCCTAAAGATGAATACAAATATTTAAGAGAAAACCCTGATTGAGTTGTCATAATTCATGCATGAAAGTGTTAAAGATGATCATATGGAGCTAACCCACGAATATTATTTTTTCCATTCATTGGCCTGCAAATAAATCTTTTACTTTTCCCATCATCTTACAGTTCATTTGACAGCTGTGTGACTTTTTTCAGCATGTGTGCTGGTGTGCAATTTTCTTTCTTGCCAAGTGCTAGATATCGTACCTCCTGACACCTGGCCTGGATACAGCCCACCAGTGCCACCAAGCCACCACCACCAGCTCAAAGCCTCCAGTACCACCTAAACATGGAGCAGAATGCAGAAAGTCCAGTTACATGCAGACATACTGATTTTACAGGAAGCATTTACTTCAATCAGTATGGTAAACTACTACACTGAACAACTTTACCCTGACCAGGTGAAATGACCCCAAGTCCCACTCCTGCAAAAAAAGGAAAAAAGTGAATTCTATATCTCTACTCCACATCTCGTAGGGAAACAAATTGTGAAAACTTATACCAGTTCCAACAGGATATCCTGGCTTCGACCCAGGGCCACCTTGCACTCCTGGCAGTCCAGGTGCAACATTAAAGCCGCCATAACCTGATGCATGGATACAACGCCGATCACTAAATGGTGAATTTCCACTGAAACCAAACTTCAAAGATGTTAACTTCAAAGAATAAACTTATTTTTACCATATGTAAGTTTTCCACCTGCAGTTTTTGCTCCATAGGCACCTAAAGAGAGAGAGAGTGAAAACAGAGGCTGGAATTATTTTATATGTGCACACATCATCATATGCAAACGCTACGTTCAGGTGAACACAATCAACACAAAAGGTTGATTCTGTTTCTCCTGATCGTAGTGTTTTCAGTGGGAGAAATGTTTCTTCACTCATCCAGTGCCTTTCTCAAACTGAAAACGCTACGTCCAGATGAACAGAAACAACTTTTTTGAGCTCCTGAACACAAAGGTTCGGTTTCAGAAAGACGAACAAAACAAAAGCAATGTGTCTGAGACCCCAAATACACTCTTCTCTCATTAGAATAACACAGTGCTAAACCTGCCACAGAAAAATCTTAGAGTACAGTTAAGTATAAGATAAGTAAGACTGTAGTCTGCAAAATGATAATAATAATCCTGCTGATGTTAAAGTTATTTAACATTAGCAGGGATTAAACCACAAAATTATATATTATGCCACATGCCTGTAGAAGAATTAATGCAAACACTGAATAATTTCATGTCACACCTTGCACTTTGGGTGATTTGAGGGGTATCCATGGAACACTCCTGGCTGCATTGGTCCCCCATACCCACGGACACCTGTGAAGAAGAAAAACATTTAAATCTGGGTTAGATAATAGCAGACAGAGTGGATAACCCCCCCAAGAAATATTTACTTGTACAATAACAAACAATCATTGATAAAGTTACCTTGCTGTCCTCCTCCTACTCCTCCTGCAACTACATAAGAAAAATGAGATATTCCAGTGAGACACATGAAGATTTTTGCAGTGACGAAGCAAAGCACACTGGAACCATGCATCACAGTGCTACGGCATTACTCTCTGGACCCACACCAGCACTTTTACTTATTCATGTACATTTGTTTAGTATGTCTTACACTGGGAACTCTACAAATATTGTCTGTGAAGGATTGTCAGTAGTGTAAGCCTTTTTAGAGCTGGTATTTACCATTTTTGGGATTCACTGGCAATGAAATAAAACTGAAAATAAATCAGCTGACACCCATCAGTAAAAACTTGAACTTACTTGATTTGGGATTGAGTTGAGACCCAGTGGGCACTCCAGGCAGAACTCCACGTCCACCAAACCCTGAAGATGACAGAAGAAACCAGACATTCCTGCAGTTGTCTTTAAATGACTGACAGTCTGCATGGTGAAACTAACAAAGGAGTAAAAGTTCCCAGATTAATATATGAAAGAGTCAAACCTTGTCCAGGCACCAGTCCACCTTGATAAAGGCCAGGTACACCCACACCTGCCACAGCCAATGAGAAGACACCCATGTTTAAATATATGTGAGGGATCAACAGCAGTGTTGACGGTGAACATTTAGATGTCCGAAAACCACAAAAAGAAAAATAAGCCAAATGGGAAGCGGAAAATGCTTACACATTGAGCCTTTGCCTGGTTGATACAAATTGAATTCACCTTTATAACTAAATGAATTATACTGTATACACTGATAGCTCACCTTCATCGAAATTTATTTCAGCAATGTAAAAATGCCTTTACATTTAATATATTATCAGGGGAATTCTCTTTTGAAAGAATGTTGATTTGCTGTTTTCTAAGGCGACATTTGACAAGACTCAGTATAATCCTTTGCTTTTATGTACAACACTGTGCAAAAGTCTTGAGCCTCCCATCAGGTCTTTATACGATATTTTGCTTCTAAGGCACTTTCTTGTTATGTTTTTAAAGCAGGGAATACTTCTTCATCTTTCATTTTCAGTTCACGTCTTGCACCTGACTGTTTTCAGAGGAATGTTTTTGTTTTTAAAGCACCTAATCACCTATGAACTGCCCAAGCAGAAAGAAGTCCTTAATTCAATGAATGAATCAGTGCAGTGTGTAGCGAACAATCAATTTTAAAATGTATCTTAGGGACTTTGTTACTATCACCCGTCACAGAAACACTCAATACATTCCCATTTCTTTAGCTGAATTTGTAAAAACAAATTTCTAAAGACAACACAACTTGTATTTTTACAGCAACTAAGTGATTCTCAAAGAGCTACTAACTGAAAACTTGGCATGTGTCAGCATGGTGTGCAGTGTGTCCTTAAACAGTGAGGAAACTGGACAAGTGGAAGACAAAGACAAAGAAGACAAAAAAAGAACCAGCAGACCTAAAACTTTATCTACAGCAGATGAACAGCAACTGGAAGTCATGTCTGGTGACGTCTTTTGAGATATGATGTTTACTGAGAAAAGACTGACGTATGCTAAACTACACAAGAACTGGGCTGGTCTTATATGGAGTAATAATTCAAAATAAGACATTTTTGGTTCAGGTCAGGAGAACACAGGTTTGGAACTGCTTTTCAGCCAGTGGGGTTGGGAATCTTGTTAAACCTTATGAAATTATCAAAGCAGAAGAGTCTGATTTTGATCCACTGTGCAATACCATCTGGAAAATGTCTGACTGGGAATGGCTTCATTTGGCTTCATGACAGTGATCCCCAAATTACTGCTAAGGCAGGAGAAGCATATGTGAATAGAAAAACAAATAATGAAGTATTATCAGTCCATGGATTGGCTTCTCAGAGCCCAAACCTCAACATTATTTAACATTAATCATCTTGACAGAGAATGGAACAAAGCGAGCCAACATCCAGAGGAGAGCTCTGAATGTCCTTCAGAGCTATTTCTGAAGGTTACTTTTAAATTACAAGAAATTACAAGAAATTTTGACTAAGAGTTCAGGCTGTGCCAAAGTATAAAGCTGGACATACCACAACTGACTTTCAAGATCTCTGTTTTTACGCTATATCCTGTATTTTCATGTATGTTTGGACATGTTTTAATAAATTACTGCGCATGTTTCACATTTTATTAGCAAAATATAAAGAAACGAGTGGTAACGCAAGACTTTTGCACACTACTGTCTATATAAGCTTTTCTGGGTTTTTTTTGCAGATTTATATGTTTTGTTGGTAAATATTTTTGATGTGGCTGCACTGCCTGGTGGGCTGCATCCTGTCTGTCTTCACTCTGAGTTTATTGTTGAGTCTACAAAACCTGGCACTTTGGCAGCTTTTTTTCCTGCGCCACCACCTCCAGGAAGGCCGGTCTGAGGAATAACAGGTGCTGAAAAAAAAAAAAGAAAAGAAGCCATAATATTATTTTGCTTAAAGAAAGGAGTGTGAAAAAGACACAGTGTCCAGAACACACACATCCTGGCCAAACTGGGATTTCTGCCCCTTCACACAGATGACTCCTTTCTTTCTTACTATTATATATTAGAAAATGTATTATATACAATCTATTCTAGTGAGTACCTAACAAAAGTAAGACTGGCTTTCAATTTTACTCGAGAAATCAGAGCTAAAATAAAATGAAAAAAAATTAGAAAAGGTGGAAATGATATTAGGTGTGTGCCTTGCCTCCACCAGGCAGTCCAGGTCCAGTTCCAGTGACTCCAGGACCTCCTCCTCCTCCAACCCCTGTTCATATGCAGACATAAACATACATTTGAAGTCACATTCAGTTCAGTGTTAGTCTTTGACACCAATAAGATGCTTTGTACCACTGTACAGTTGTACATCCCAACACCACTAGAGGGCCCTGTGCCACTAAAGATGAGCAATGAGTCGCTTTGTGGCTTGTGGCAGGTCCGCTTGCTGGTCAGCGGTAATGAGAGCAGCTAATCTGGGCCTTGCAGTTTATCATCACCCCGTGACCAAAAGCAACATGGCTTTTGACTTTTGCTTTAATCAGAAACGGCAGCCAGCATGCATGGCATTTTCCTCACTTCATCAAATGCCTCATTTTGCTGGCTAACCCCTCCTGCAGGAAATGAGCTGTCAGCTTCACTTTCAAGGGAGCTTGGCAGCTGGATAAAACACAATGGTTTATTTGGTTAATTTTTTTTTTATCTTAAAGTCCACACACTTTATTGGACAGACATTGCGCACTGCCTGTAAGTATGCGTTCTGGGGGAACTGGTGAGGCAAACTCTGGCAAGGGAATGTTTTGTTTTATCTGTGCTCTTTCAGAGGAAGGACCTGTTATTTTCAGTGTCATGAAAACAATACAGACTGATTCTTGCCATTGCCAATCAATACTTAACGGTAGGCTCTGTGCCATAGTCAAGTCTTGGCCATGATTGAGCCCTCTTGACTTCATGTGTCTGAATACAGCACAGACTTTCAGGTCAGGCCAGGCTCTGCTGAGGTTCACACTGTCTAAGGTTTGCAAGTACATGCTAAAAATGTACGCATGTTTGCCAAACTGTGTTTCCATGCCGAGTTACCATTAATGTGAAACATTCACTTTGGCTTTCTCCTAACATTTGAGCATGCAGATCTTTCAGAGTTCAAAACGCTTCAGTCAGTGTCAGTCTGGTCTGTACAGTAGTCTGTCAACGGGCCAAAACATGAGTTTGCCTCCTGCACCTGTGAGCAGGACAACCAGAACTTCAGATGCACTTCAGATCCATGCAGGAGCCTCATCTGTGAATGCGTGTTGTTTTTTTGTTTAGTGGACAGAACCTAACAGATTACAGTGACATCGGTAATGTCAGTTTACAATTATCCAAACCAAAACAGATTTAACATAAGAGGGAGGCAATGTTTCTGTTTAACAACAAGCTTTCACATGGCAGACAAGCTCATCCCACCTCTGCAGGAATGTCTCACTGTAATCCTGGAAGTTACTTCAGACCTTAAAGTCCTGAGGCATTTTTAGACCTCAGATATCAGGACTGAATTTCAAAAGAAGCATAATATCGCTTCAGTAATCAAAACAAGTAATTGAAACATAAACGGTGTCTCGTTCCAACAGCCAATATCCCATAATCATATCTGATTAACCTCCAGTTTCCACTGCACTTAATGAGAAATCAAGGAAAAATTGTTCGCTGATGCCATCACTCTTTATTAGCCGCCGATGTTACATTTCTACCAAGACATTTTCTGCCCTGCATTTTACCGCTTTTAGCAGCCTTTGATCCAGCTCCCGGATAGTAGCCCCCATAGCCACCTAAGCGACACAAGAGGTTAAAGGTTAGTGAGTTTTTGCCCCTGTGTTTAACATACACATAGCTGTTCTAGTTTCAGCTCACCTCCTCCATAGCCTCCAGGCCCCAGGCCGCCACCTCCTAGATTTCCATATCCTGGATGATAAAAAAGTGACAGTTCACAAACGGACTGAAGTGTGTAGATGATAACAAATTAAAGAAAAGCACACAGTTTTCTTTCAATGTGGCTATAATGAGTTAGATGTGGTTTACCCAGCAGTAGTTACTCCTAAAGAAAAATAAGCCATCACTCAAACATTTTCCAAGACCTGTGAGTACAGCGCACCATACAGTAAAAAAAATAAATGTCATGGCATAAGATATAATGTCATGTGTGCCCAATTAAATCTGATTGAAAACACTTGTGTGTATGTTTTTAGAGCCAAGGACTTTACTTTGGGTACATGGGATAAAGCTGACCCCAACTGGCTAAAACGCATGAGAGAAATACCATAAAAAAAATTGGTTCCCTATCTGGTTATGTTTAATTCTAAACACTGGATGGA